ATAGCTTAGATATTGCCAGCAGTCTTCTTGAATTGGAGGGAGATATTGAAGATTAAACAAAGATACAGAGAATTCAAATTGAAATCCTAAGTATTTGAAAGCCATGTGCTTTAACGGTGTCTTGCATAAGGTCAATTTTCCATGTTTAGAGGTTCACCTATTCCTCAAAATTGCTTGATTGGTATTCATTTAAGTATTGACACTTCGTTATTTTTTTTATTTTTAACCCATTGAATCCAATTTATGCCTCTATACTCTTGGGTATATGACCATTCATTGGAGCTTATTGAGATCACCCATTCCACATCCTTAAATGAAAATGATTATCACTTCCCAGCAGTTATCAACTGTTATTAAGACTTCAGGTAAGAGCATAACTTCATTTGAAATTCCTGTTAGCATAATGAAATGTGTGTCATTTGAGCTACCATAGGTTGTGTGAATGCTCTCACAGTGACGAACATCTACTCTATTCTACCCAGGAGGTGGTGTTTCTTCTTAGTCATCCATAACCCTGACCTTCTATATTGACCCAGAAACTTGACAGGGGCGTAGTATTAATAAAAAAGGAAGGCATGTGTGTAGAGGATAGGGTACAATAGCATAGTGTTCAAATTATGTTAAATGAAACTCTCTGTAATGGTTTCTCATGGGGTGAAAAATGATGATTTAGTGAAATAAGTATTAGACAATATAGCTTTCTTATATGCAGTATTGGCAAGTATTTACAAAAATAGGTAATGAGCTGAGAGCTTTATTTGAATTAAAATATCAGGTTGCTGTATATTACTGGGAAAATCACAGGTGCAGGACCTTGAGACAGCTCTGCACACATAGTCTATCCTCAAAAGAGGGAGAACTTCCCTGTTGGGAACCATAGATCTCTAGATCAAAGCACAAAGTCAGTCACCATTCCACAGTCCAAAGCCGCTTTACATCCTGCATCCCTCTGCCATAACCCCTGCCTTATTCCTCTCTATAAGCTGGCAGAAAATTTTCAATAAAGAGAGCTTGATCAGACCTCCTGTCATGCTCTTGTTCTCTGTGTCTCTTGTCCCTCATTTGTCTCCCCCAGTATAGCACACATTGACTTGGTCCAGTAGGTAGGGACACATGACCATAACTACATTATCACACTTTTCCCATCTCTCTTGTCATCTCTGTCTCTGTCCCTCTGTCTGTCTCTCACTCTTTCTGTATATACTAAAAATGATTAATTTGTTTCTCATTTAGGTTTACTCCTTAGTATCCATATATGCTTTGTCATCATTTTCATTAGACCACACCCCTGTTTCAAGCACTCATGCCCAGAATTACTGTTGCCTTTTGTCTATCCTCATGAGGTCATTCCACTGTCCTGGTTTATAATGGTTTTAATTTAATGAAAATACTGAAAGTAGACATAAAAATAATTCTACTGCCTCTCAGTGAATATATTAACCAAGTAAATAATAAGGAGTTATGGAAAACCACCACATACTCTTTTAATCACAGAAACTAGTCATCTGCTTATTGTAAGAGAATTTTTAAGCAGATGGTAGGATTCTGGAACACCAAATGAGCACAGCAGTTTAAAAGAAAATCTGACATTCACACCTGGTTATACCAAAAGGCCAGGATTAGGACTTAGGGTGAGGGCATGGGGGCAACTGTGGGCTGGTGTCATGCTAAAGCCAGCATTACCCAGTATGGATGCTCTGTTCCATTTGTCTAAGAAAACCTGCTGTTCAGAGCCACTTTTCTGCAGACTCCAAACCCCTTCACTAATGCTTACACCAGTGTTACTGGTTACTCTAATAGGACATCCCTTGGGGAAGGGGGTAAGAAAATGCTCCATCAAGACTCAGGCACTGGGACTCAGTGAGTATCAGAGCACGCTGAAGACTCATTTATTAAGGAAGCTAGGCCTGCCTTTATATGCTCTCCCAAGATCTCATTGGCTCAGGCTGCTGACTCTTCTTTATGTCCCTTTCTGCTTGGTGTATCTGGGTCAAGTGTCTTTCCTTCAACAGTCTCTGGGAGTTGAGGCAGGCTTGGTGGTTTGGCTCAGGGAGGAAGTCCATGCAGTGCATGGGCATGCTCATGGTGGCTGGACTGCACACTGTGGGCATGGCAATTTCAGGTTGGATAGGCTTGCCACAGTTTCCCCTACACACTAGGCTTCCAGGAAGAAAGATTGCCAAGAAGGGCACCCTTTAACAGCACCCAATCCACAGTGTCTTTAGTAACTCAGCCTGGTGGAGCCTGCCCTGTAGCTTTAGGGTGATGCAGGCCCAGCCTCTGTATGCTTGAACACCCCTGGTATGTTGGGAACAAAATGGATTCTGAGCTAGCACAGTCCATCTTCTGTTTCCAGCAGTCTCCCCATCTCTAACTTCACAGTGGTTAGCAAACTAATTTCTTGGTTCTCAGGTACCAACATAAGTGTGATCCTGCTAATAAGACTCAGCATGCCCAAAGAAGCTTGCCCTGATATCAGCTCATGAGAGTGTTAAATAGACACCAAGGGGCACTTTTTGGGGGTGAAAATTAGCACTGAGGACCTGAAAAGAAGCTGAAGATTACAGGATAGTTTCCATGGAATTGTGACATCATCCCATACAGAAAACAAATGAAGCCCAGTATAGTCCCAAAACGGGCAGGGAAAGGCAGCCAAGAAGGGTAGATTGGGAGCTCTGGAAGATCATAAACAGGGGTCACATAGTAGAGGCCAATGTAGGCAGGATTGATGCAAGTCCTTGTCTAATGATCACTATCAAGAGACTGAATTTAACAGCAAGAATGTCAGCAGAGGGGTGAGTAAGAATATTAGCATGGTAGGATGAGAACAAAATTCTTGTAGCCCCTATCAGGAGATAAGAATGTGCATAAACTTAGTGAGACATCTTCTTCCACCCTTGTATCTCAGTTTATTCTGAGGACCACTGAAGTCCTTTTCCCAGGGAGACCAAACACATACACACAACCAAACATATTCATGTACTCATGATCAGACTCATAAACCCTCTCTCTCTCTCTCTCTCTCTCTCTCTCTCTCTCTTTCTCTCTCTCTCTCTCTCTCTCTCTCTCACACACACACACACACACACACACACACACGCACACACACACCACTAACATCAGAGAAGAATGTATGGATATGCCCCAGTCTGCATATGCTCCGATTAGGCAACAGAGACCCTAGGGGAGGGAATGAGAATGGGGGAATAAGAGATGCAAGAGACAGGGACAAAACAGGTTTCTGATCAAATATCATTTATTAAAATTATTAAAAGGGCTTAAGTAGGGCAAGTGGCAGGAGGGCAGGGGACCAGAAATTCTCCTTGGCAAGATATGTTTCAAGGAGCCAACTCTGTGACTGGGTGAGTCTAAACTGCAGGCCTGATCATATGTTTTACAAGATGATAAGCAGACATGGGGGAATAGAAACTTAATAAGTGTTAAGAATGCAGTAGGGACTAGACCAGCTTCCTGTGCTTGGGGTCTACAACTGTATCTTCCATCCCAGCAGTGGGAGCCAATGCTCCCTAGTCTCCTGCTCCACCCACGGGTCCAGGTAAACCAGGGCCCATTTCCAGACTGCCTGCCTGGGCCTGGGCTCTGCCACAGAGGCTTCCATCCTTGTAGCAGTAGGAGCCAAGGTACCCTAGTTTCTTGCTCCACCCATGGAACTAGGACTAGACCTGCTTGCCTATGCTTGGAGTCTACCATTGCATCTTCCATCCCAGCGACGATGGGAGCCAATGCTCCTTAGTTTCCTTCTCCATCCATGTGTCCAGGTAAACCAGGGCCCATTTCCAGGATGCCTGCTGGTGCTTGGGGACTGCCACGGGAGCTTCTATCCCAGAGGTAGGAGTGAGTGCACCCCAGCATCCTAGACTCCTGCTCTACCAATGTGACTAAGACTATAAGAGCCTGTCTCCAGGCCACACTACTGTGCCCAGAGTCTACCACTGAGACTACCATCTGTCCCATTTGGTGGATCCAAAGCACCCCAGCATACCAGTTCATTTCTCCACCCATGAGACCAGGAAGTGGAGAGCTACCTACACTTGCCTACACCCATCAGAAGGGAACTCTGGTCCCATACTCACCAGGAGAGAAAGAGGCACCCTCTGGAAACCACTGCAAGAATGGAGACAATATAAAAACCCAAGGAGCAACAGAAAAACAAATGTGACACTGCCAGAGTCCAGAGACCCTACACCAACAAGACTGGAAGACCCCAACACAATGGAGCCAGAAGAGAATGACAGAAAAAACAACTTCATGGAAATGATAGAGGCTCTCAAAGAGGATACAAGAAAATCCCTTAAAGAGATGGAAGAAAAAGCAATCAAAAAATGCAAGAAATGGAGCAAAAGACAATGCAAAAATTGCAAGAAACAATTCAAACAGTGAAATCTGAAACAGAAACAATAAAAAAACACAGTCTGAAAGAATGCTGGAAATAAAAAAGCTGGGAAAATGGTCAGGTACTACAGATGCAAGCACAACCAACAGAATTCAAGAGATGGAAGAGAGAATCTCAGGTGTTAAAGATACACTAGGAGAAATGGATTCATCAACCAAAGAAAATCTTAAGTGCAACAAATCCTTAACACAAAACATCCAGGAAATATGGGACACCATGAAAAGACCAAACCTAAGAATAATAGGTATAGAAGAAGGTGAAGAAACACACCTTAAAGAGCCAGAAAACATATTCAACAAAATAATAGAAGAAAAATTTCCCAACCTAAAGAAAGACATGCCAATGAAGGTGCAAGAAGCTTACAGAACAACAAGTAGAGTGGACCAAAAAAATCCCCTTGACACAATAATCAAGACCCCAAACATACAGAATGAAGAAAGAATATTAATAGCAGCAAGGGAAAAAGGACAAGTAACATGTAAAGGCAAATCTATCAGAATTACACCTGACTTCTCCATGGAAAATATGAAACCCAGAAGGTCGTGGAAGGATATTCTACCAACATTAAGAGACCATGGAGGCGGCACAGCTGGACGCTAAGATGGCGGCGGCGTGAGTTGCATGTTGTACGAGGATCCCGGGGCTGCCGCATTGCTCCGGCCCCGCCATGGCCATCACCATCACGCTTAAAACGTTGCAGCAACAGACCTTCAAGATACGCATGGAGCCTGAGGAGACGGTGAAGGTCCTGAAGGAGAAGATAGAGGCCGAGAAGGGAGGGGATGCTTTCCCTGTGGCTGGACAGAAACTCATCTATGCCGGCAAGATTTTGAGTGATGATGTCCCCATCAAGGAATACCATATAGATGAGAAGAACTTTGTGGTTGTCATGGTGACCAAGGCCAAGGCTGGTCAGAGTACCCCAGCACCCCCAGAGGTCTCACCCACTGCTGTCCCAGAGTCCTCCACACCCTTCCCTCCAGCTCCAGCATCAGGCATGTCCCATCCCCCACCTACCAGCAGAGAGGACAAGAGCCCATCAGAGGAATCAGCTACTGCAACATCTCCAGAATCCATCTCTGGCTCTGTTCCCTCTTCAGGTAGCAGCGGGCGAGAGGAAGACGCAGCTTCCACATTAGTGACTGGCTCTGAGTACGAGACGATGCTGACTGAGATCATGTCCATGGGCTACGAGCGGGAGCGGGTTGTGGCCGCCTTGAGGGCCAGCTACAACAACCCCCACAGAGCTGTGGAGTACTTGCTCACGGGAATTCCTGGGAGTCCCGAGCCGGAACATGGTTCTGTTCAGGAGAGCCAGGTACCAGAACAGCCGGCCATGGAAGCAGCAGGGGAAAACCCCCTGGAGTTCCTGCGGGACCAGCCCCAGTTCCAGAACATGCGGCAAGTGATTCAGCAGAACCCAGCCCTGCTCCCTGCACTGCTCCAGCAGCTGGGCCAGGAGAACCCTCAGCTCTTGCAGCAAATTAGCCGACATCAGGAGCAGTTCATCCAGATGTTGAATGAGCCCCCTGGGGAGCTGGCAGACATCTCTGATGTGGAGGGGGAGGTTGGCGCCATAGGTGAGGAGGCCCCACAGATGAATTATATCCAGGTGACGCCGCAGGAGAAGGAAGCTATAGAAAGGCTGAAGGCACTGGGCTTCCCAGAGAGCCTGGTGATCCAGGCCTACTTCGCGTGTGAAAAAAATGAGAACTTGGCTGCCAACTTCCTTCTGAGTCAGAACTTTGATGATGAGTGATGCTGGGAGGCTAGAACGCCCCAGCCCACTCCACAGAAGTTTTATAGAAGAAAAAGTGTGTGTGTATGTATATATATATATATATATATATATATACATATATACACACACACACACACACATATATTCATGTTTATTTAAGAGGAAGAAAAAAATCAAAAACTATTTAAAAAAAAAAACCACCTAGCCCCTATTCCCATCTCAGTCCGACAAGACCTGGGCCAGACAGCTGTCCCCATCCTCTTAACAGAGCCCAGCCTGCTCAAAGTTGCTGGCAAGACCAGGAGGTGACAGATGGGCCCCTCTTGGCCTCTGTCCCAGCTCCCTGCAGCCAGATGGAGAGGCGCCTGCCTGCTTCCCCATCCCCTGAAGCATCCCCAAGGACAGCCCACCTCCCTCCTCCATGACGAGGGGAAGCTGGAGCCCTAAACTCTTATCCTCTATTGGAGTGGCCCAAATCTTTCCATCTGGAGCGAGTTCATTAGAAGCCCAAGGCTTTCTCCCCAGTCTGGCTTTGGCCTCCAGCCTGGAGAAGGAGGTAACATGAGTTCCCAAGGCCAAGGCCACGCCTGCCCCAGGACGGAACCACATCTCTGATAAAGGTTTTTAAGTGAATAAAGTTTAAAAAATGGATGCCAGCCAAGACTGCTATACCCAGCAAAGCATTCAATCATTATAGATGGAGAAAACAAGATATTTCATGACAAAACCAGATTTAAACAATACATATCCACTAACCCAGCCCTACAGAAAGTTCTGGAAGGAAAACCCTAACCCAAGGAAGTTAACTACAACCAGAAAAACAAAAAGATAATCCCACTTTACCAACAGGCAAAAGAAAAAGTGGTGGAAAATCACATACAATTCCAACAACAACAACCAATCCACAACAAATAAGAATGAGCTATCAATGGCTATTAATTTCCTTCAATATTAATGGTCTTAACTCACCCATAAAAAGACACTGGCTAACAGAATGGATTTAAAGACAAAACCCATCCTTCTGCTGCATACAAGAAGCAAACCTCAGCTTCAAAAGACAGATGTTATTTCAGAGTTAAGTATTGGGAAAAGAGTTTCCAACTAAATGGACCCAAGAAACAAGTGGGGGTAGCAATACTAATATCTAACAAATTAGTCTTTAAACTAAAATCAATCAAAAGAGATGAAGGAGGTCACTTCATACTCATCACAGAAGAAATCAACCAAGATGAAGTCTCAATTCTGAGCATCTATGCCCCAAATACAAAGCTATCTACATTCCTAAAAGAAACATTACTAAATCTCAAAGCACATGTAAAACCTCACACACTTGTAATAGGAGACTTCAACACCCCACTCTCACCACTAGATAGAACCATAAGACAGAAACTTAACAAGGATACGAAGGACATAATAGAAGTTATGACCCAATTGGCTTTAACAGACATCTATAGAACACTCCATCAAAACACAGAAGAATATATCTTCTTCCCAGCTCAACACAGAATCTTCACAAAATTGACCACATACTTGGCAATATAGAGAACCTCAACTACAAAAAATTGGTTTAACTCTGTGTATGTTATCAGACCATCAAGCCTTAAAGTTAGAAGTCAACAATAACACAAATCGCAGAAACCCTGCAAACTTATAGAAATTGAACAATGTGGAATTACACCATCCATGGGTCAAGGAAGAAATAAAAAAGAAATTAAATACTTCCTAGAATTCAATGAGAATGAAGACACAACATACCCAAACTTATGGGACACTTTGAAAGCAGTGCTAAGAGGAAAGATCATAGAATTAAGTGCCCACATGAAGAAACTGGAGAATAGTCACACTAGAGAATTAACAGGACACCTGAAAGCTCTAGAACAAAAGGAAGCAAACTCACCCTAGAGGAACAGATGCCAAGAAATAATTAAATTGAGGGCTGAAATGAATAAAGTAGAAACTAGGAAAACAATACAAAGAATCAATGAAACAAAGAGTTGGTTCTTTGAGAAAATCAACACAATAGACAAAACTTTATCCAAACTTACCAAATGGCAGAGTATGAACATGCAAATTAACAAAATCAGAAATGAAAATGGGGACATAACAACAGACAATGAGGAAATTCAGAGAATCATCAGGTCATATTTTGAAAACCTGTACTCCACAAAATTTGAAAATTTAAAGGAAATGGACAGTTTTCTGAATAGCTATCACTTGCCAAAAGTAAATCAAGAACAGATAAGCTATTTAAATAGTCCTACAACACCTAAGGGAATAGAAGCAGTCATCTAAAGTCTCTCAACCAAAAAAAGCCCAGGGCCAGATGACCTCAGTGCAAAATTTTACCAGAAATTTAAAGAACAGCTTATACCAATTGTCCTCAAATTATTCCATGCAATAGAAGTAGAAGGGTCTTTGCCTTTTTACAAGGCTTCAATAACATGATCCCCAAGACACACAAAGACACATCTAAGAAAGACAACTTCAGACCAATATCCCCCATGAACATTGATGCAAAAATACTCAATAAAATACTGGCAAATTAGAACCAAGAACACAACAGAAAACTCATTCACCATGATCAAGTAGGCTTCATCCCAGGCATACAGGGTTGGTTCAACATACAAAAATCCATCAATGTAATCCACCATATAAACAAACTGAGAAACAAAAATCACATGATCATCTCACCAGATGCTGAAAAATCCAACACCCTTTCATGATAAAGGTCTTGGAGAGATCTGGGATAACAGGAACATACCTAAACATAATAAAAGCTATATACAAACAATCAGCCAATATCAAACTGAATGAAGAGAAACTCAAGGCAATTCCTCTAAAATCAGGAACAAGCCTAGGATGTCCCCTCTCCCCATACCTGGTCAATATTGTACTGGAAGTTGTAGCTAGAGCAGTAAGACAACAAAAGGAGATACAAATTGGGAAGGAAGAGGTCAAACTTTCACTATTTGCAGATGATATGATACTTTACATAAGTGACCCAATGTACTCTACCAGGGAACTCTTACATCTGATTAATACCTTCAACAAAGTGGCAGGATACAAGATCAACTCAAGAAAATCAGTAGCCCTACTATATACAGACGATAAAAGGGCCAAGAAAGAAATCAGAGAAACATCACTCTTTACAATTGCCATAAACAAGACAAAATACATGGGGTAACACTAACTGAACAAGTGAAAGACCTGTATAGAAAGAACTTTGAGTCTTTAAAGAAAGATATTAAAGAAGACACCAGGATTTGGAAAGATCTCCCATGCTCTTGGATAGGTAGGATCAATGTAGTGAAAATGGCAATCCTGCCAAAAGCAATCTACAGACTCAATACAATCCCCATCAAAATCCCAGTAAAATTCTTCACAGACCCTGAAAGAACATTAATCCACTTTATGTGGAAAAACAAAAGACCCAGGATAGCCAAGACAACCCTGCTCAACAAAGTAACATCCGGAGGCATCCCCATCCCTGATTTCAAGCTCTATCATAGAGCTATAGTCCTGAAAATGGCTTGGTATTGGCACAAACATAGACAAGTAGACCAATGGAATCAAGTTGAATACCTTGAGATTAATCCAGCAACCAATTAACACCTGATTTTCGATAAAGAAGCTGAAATTATACAATGGAAAACAGATAGCATCTTCAACAAATGGCATAAATGGATATTGGCATGTAGAAGACTGCAGATAGATCCATGTCTATCACCATGCACAGAAATGAAGTCTAAATGGATCAAAGACATCCACATAAATCCAGCCACACAGAAGCTGTTAGAAGAGAAAGTAGGAGGTACCCTTGAATGAATTGGTACAGGAGACTGCTTCCTGAAGATAACACCAGTAGCACAAACACTGAGAGTGACAATTAATAAATGGGACCTCCTGAAACTGAGAAGCTTCTGTAAGGCAAAGGACACAGTCAGGAACATGAAAAGGCACCCAATACATTGGGAAAAGCTATTCACTAACCCCACTTCTGACAGAGGGTGGATCTCCAAAAGTTACAAAGAACTCAATAAGCAAGTCTTCAAAGCAACAAAGGATCCAATTAAAAAGTGAACTAAACAGAGATTTCTCAATAGAGGAGACTAAAATGTCTGAGAGACACTTGAGAAAGTGCTCAATATCATTAGCCATTAGGGAAATGCAAATCAAAGCAATTCTGTGATATCATCTTACTCTTGTCAGAATGGCTAAAATCCAAAATACCAATGACAGTTTGTGCTGGATAGGATGTGGAGAAAGGGGAACACTCCTCCACTGCTGGTGGTATTGCCAACTTGTGCAGCGACTATGGAAATCGGTATGGATATTCCTCAGGAAAATGGGACTTGTCTAACACAAGACCCAGAAATTCCACTCTTAGGCATTTAATCAATGGATGCCCACTCATACACCAAGGATGTCTGTTCCACTATGTTCACAGCATATGTAATAACTAGATCCTGGAAGCAACGTAGATGCCCTACAACTGAAGAGTGGATAGAAAAAATGTGGTACATTTACACAATGGAGAACTAAGTGGAATAAAAAACAATGGAATCTTGAAATATGCGGGCAAATGGTTGGCACTAGAATTAACCATCCTGAGTGAGGTAACCCAATCACAAAAAGACAAACATGGTATTACTCACCATATATGGATTTTAGACATAGATCAGGGGAGTGTCCACCTACAATCCCAGTGTCAGTGAATCTGGGAAACAGAGACGTTCCCAAGAGAGATACATGATACCCAAGAGAAATGGAATGAGCCAAGATCCTCTGAGCAGACTGGGAACATTGGAGGAGTGGAGAGGGAGCCAGGAAAAGAGAGGTGGATAAGAGGAGGGGAGAAGAAGGCAGGGGGGAGCAGGAAGGTTTAGTCGAGGTAAGAATAGATGGAGTCATTATAGGCTTGAGGAGAGAGCTGACACTAGTGAGATCTCCAGAGACCTACAAGGATAACACCAACTGGAAAACTAAGCAATAGTGGAGAGATTACATTAGTAGCCCCTCCTTGATGATAAGGTTGATGACTACCTTATATGCCAGCCTAGAACCTTCATCCAGTGACTTATGGAAGCAGAGACAGATACCCAATGATCTGAACTCCTGGAACCCAGTGACAGAGATGGAGGAGTGATGAGCAAAGGGGTAAAAACTGTGCTGGTGAAACACACAAAGACAGATGTCTGGACAATGGGGAGCTCTTGAACCCCAGACTGATGGCTAAGAGGCCAACAGACAACTGATCCAGACTCCATAAATGTGTCAGTCAGGAGGCCTCAGAAATCTCTGGAGCCTTGGGTAGTAGATTAGTTTCACCATGGCATACAAATGAACTTTGGGAGACCATTCCAATTGGAGGGATTCTCTCTCATCCTGGACACATGGGGAAGAGCCTAGATCCTGCCCTGTATGAAATGACAGACTCTGGAGATACCCCAAGGAGGGCTTCACCCTCCCTGGGGAATAATGTAGGGATTGGGCTGGGGGCAGGGTTAGGGGGCTGGTGAATGGACAAGGGTTGGGAAGCTGGAATTGACATTTGAAGCATGCATGTTTCTAATTTATATTTAAAAAAGAACTAAAAAGAGAAAAAAGAAAATGGGTGATTGGGAAATGCATAACAGTTAGTAAACA